AGGTTTTAAATATGTCATTCAAAAACAAGAACAACAAAAAATATGTTTTGGATCAGGATGTCCTCGTGACACTTCAAAAAAGAGTATGAGTCCATTTATGAAGTATTATACATTAGAAGATCATTCAAATGTGGCACCAAATTCATATAATGTCTTAAAATCGTTTAAAGCAATTAAAACTAAGGTATCATTGATTCAGTTTTGTTTTCAACATTAAATTATTGTTCATTTGTAATATATTTTTAGAAATTAAACATAGATTATTAAAATTATGCGCTTGCTTGCAGCCTTGTTCTCATAGTATTAGTAAAACAGGTTACAGTGGAATTGCTAGATTTAGTAAAAAAATTGAATTCAATGATAATTATCCATCACCATCAGATTACAACACCTCTACATTTCCGAAACAAGTACATAAAACAAAGTACCCATTTGACTGTAGCAGCAAAAGGAAAACATTTGTGAGCAATACAATTCCAGGGTATTACATTTATATAACAAGAATGATTCTAATAACTTTTTATATAATTATTTATTTTAATTATTGTTTCATTTAACATAGTCCAGGAATGTATGTTAGCACTGAAAAGGGAAGTATTACATTTGAACATAGTTTTGGTGGAAGAGTGAAAATGAAACTTGGAGTTGATCTAAAATGTTGCAGTCAAAATTCAGACTTTTGCAAACTATGTGGTAAAAAAATAACTGGTGATTACTGGCATTTAAAAAATGAAATATTTTTATGTAGATCATGTAAAAACAAAGAATATGAAAAAGAAACAAAATATAAAAGAAAAGAATTAAAACAATTTCATGTAAGACTTATATACTAAATTGTAATTATGGGTATATACATGTACACATATTTAACTGTTTATTTATTTATTTTAGAAAATACGAGATTGTTCAATTATACATCAACATGAAACTACAACTGCAAAAATATGGTTGATGCATCCTACAAGTGCTGCACAATGGATACGTAGGGAAACTTATCTTTCTGCTTATTTTAATGAATAAATATAACTAATTTATACTATATAATTCATACCAAGATAAAATTGATTGTTCAAAAATATAGCAAAACAAGTGAATATTTATTATTTAAAGAAGATTTTTATATTCGTTTTGACATGTTTCAAATTCAGTCAAATTTTATATAATTCATTACTACAAATATTTTTGTTATTTATGTACACAAAAATTATATAAAAATAGTCAAATTATGTATATTTATATATAGTAGATAGTCTAAATAACATATGTAATTAATATTAGTAATAGATTCCATTTAATGTGTATTTGTGCACTGATATTATTATAATGTTTACATGGTAATCAGTCCACACAAAAGGAATTTTTCTTTTTAACAGATTAATATTAAATATTACCTTTATATTAATATATGTATACTAGATATTTTGTAAACATCAAGTAAACATTATAAGCAAATTATCTAACCATAAATTATATACGCATAATACTACATATCAAGTTTAAGGAATCAGTTTACATGTACCCACTCTTTCTTAAATAAATATACCAAAAAATATACAGGTGTTTATTCTCATATTTACTTACTATGTGCAATAAGAAAACCACTCCTAATATAGTCATGATACTTATAAATATAATTTATGACTATAATTATTGACATTGTATTTCAATTGCACATCAGTTATAAGTATTTGATGATGAATCTTGAATATCATCCTTCTGTTGTATAATTAACGGTTTTCTGTTATCTTCTATAGGGTTACCGCCATCAGGAGCTTGTCTTGAAAATACAAGAACAGATGTTTCAGAAGATGTAGAGTCACCATTTTCAATTATTTCTGAATCAATAGATTTAATCAATGATTTTTCAGCCGATATAGTAGTAGTTGATTCTGTACTATTACTTGCTAATAGATCATTGTAACTGCTTTTATGGAGAACAGTTAAATCAATGCTATCATCAATATTTTCCGACACTCCAGAAGGTGTCATTCTAAAAAGTTCAGCATTTTCGAAATGTTCATTGGTCTCTACTAAATTACATACTTTATTTAATCTATTACTTATCGATGTGCTGAAAACTTTACTATACCGATTATCTAATTGTTTGATAGTTTCTTCTTCAGGTGAAGCATTTGAATAATATAGGTCAGGCACTAAATGTTGATATAAAAGTGGATTGAAAATGTTATTTAAATCCATATGACGAATATTTGAAGTTAAAAGATGAGTTGTCAATTCGTCGCATTTTGATGTATTGCTATTTTCTTCAGCAACTAGTTCTTCACGTATTACTGTTGACATTCTATTAGCAATTTGCGAATTCATCGATACTTCGGGTGAATTTCTATTATCACACGTATCCGCCACACCCTTAGTCACACAATCTGTTACTGTACTTTCCAAATTTTTAATAGTTTGTTCATTTATATTATCCGTCTGAGTAGGTACTGTACATATTTTAACCTCCTTGCTACATTTACTACTATCTTGTAAGTTATTATTACTTTGTTGTAAATTTGTCAGTAAATTGGTAACACTTTTTCTTATTGGCACAGTCTTACTTAAATGTGATTGTACGGGAAATTGTAAAGATAGCTTATCAAGTAAATAATTTATGTGTGTTTTTGTTCCTTGTTCTGGATAGCCAGTGAAAGTGTTATCTAATGTTCTAATCTTTTTCATTAAATGTTCACTTTGGTGTTGTACTTGACAATTATCATTTGATAAATTTCGTTTACTGTAAGAATTCGATGTCTTAGGAGAATTCGGTTTCGTTATCTCAGAAATAGTTGCTTTGTTACAACTAATATAAGTTTGAGGCAAACTATTTTGATTGTTAGTTTCACGTGATATATTCTGATTTTCATTTTCTGTAATAACTGTATTATGCAATAATCTTTTATCTAGTTGAGATATTTGACATATTCTACTACTGCAATCCGTTGTAGCAATGGATACTATTGGATCATCAATTTTAGAATCGATATTTTCATTATCGCTATTTGGATCATTTAAATCAAATTCATTTTCCAAGTCATCTTCAAAAGCCGTATTTGTAACATCACGCAATCGTGATTCTAGACGTTTTGTAATCTCATCTAATTCGGTTAATTTTTGTCTATAGAAAAACATAAATATTACATTTATAACTATAAAAAAAACTATATTGAAAAATAAAGGAATGTAGTCAAATTTACTTACTTTAAGGATAAAGATAAAAATGACATGGATACATCTTCTAAAGCAGTATGCATTGTAGAGTCATTTAAGTGATTTTCGCTATGTATTGATTTTTCTTCTTCCTGTGTAACTGTTGATAAAGTGTAATTGGTATTATTTCTTTCCATATTACCAGAATGCATTTCATAAGTATACATTGGAAACCAATTTAGTTGAGACTTAGAACATGTTGGCAGTCGTGTTGTATTTAATGTTGTCATAGGCTTTGCAAATAATGATAAATTATCCATTGGTGTTATGCATATCTAAAACATAAATAGTAAAGTACACAAAAACAAATATCATAACATATATAAATAAAATCTAAAATACTTTAATTTGTCCGTTGCATTTTCCAGTGAAGTCCATTATATGAAACCAACCAGACACTATTGGGAAACCATTAATTAAAATGGAAAGATCAATAGCAGAAAATCCAATAACAACATCTCTCTCTAAGTTTATTTCCATACCAATACCTGTGTCTAATATACGCCAAATTTTTAAAATCAACCTTTTTTCACCCTAAAAAAAAGTGTTTATAATTTCTGCTAAGAAAGGAAATGAATTATGTATACAAATCAGAAGAATAACGTACATGTAAAAGCAGTTCTGTTGGTAATTTTGTATCACATTTCCAATTCCATTTAGGATTACAACTATATGGAAAAACATTAGTAATCGTGTACGAATTTAAATGTTTTGAATAATCAGATTTATTGGCTTGAAATGATACATATGTACTTGGTTCAATGGTTTCATTATGTGTCTCTACTTTTGGTAAATGTAATGCGCATTCAATCTCTACGATAGCTCTAAACGTTGTTTGACCACATGCAAAATTCGTTGATTCATTTTCTGTATGAATTGCAGTTGGCAACTCAAATGTTGTATTATTATGACCACTATTTAGTTGGTAATCAATATCTTCATTATACTCAGCACCAACACCAACGCTTCTATATGTTTCTGTTGGTAAATGAAAATTGTGTCTAACACTACTGTTTTCGCTATCGGAATTATTAAAATTCAATTCACTTATACACATCTGTTCTTCCGTGTCTGTTTGTTTCTTATCTTCCAAGCTTATTTCAGTTTGTGCCGCTTGATCTATGATCACTTTGTTAACAGTTAAAACCTGTGTTAAATGGTCAACTGTATTATGTAAAGTAGAATGTTCCGAAGTTAAACTTTCTTGCGATTCCTTATTAAACTTAAATTCTTTTACAGTTGAAATATCTGTCTGACACTCTTGAGTTTTTAAATTTGCAGAATACAACTTTTCATTGATTGCATGTATTTGAGAATTATTTTGCGAAAATACTTCTTTATTGGATCGCAATTCATATGTATTATGCGTTAGTGGCATATCATGTGAATACTTTGTGCAATCAGATAAATTTTCTGAATGTACTATTTGCGATAAAGTACCAACAGTTCGCAAGCCTCTAGATATTTCTAATAATGCAATTTGTTCAGCAGTTCCAAGAGCTACTAATGTAAGTAATTGACCACAAGATTGACCAGATACAGGATCTATAATTGGTACCCATCCATCTACACTAACCACGGGATACTGGAATAATAAATTATAAAATGTTGTACGTCTTAAATAATTAAAATTATATTAATTTTAAATTACGTACCTTAGATAATAACAAATGAGGCAGTACTCGTGGATCTCTATATGCAATATATAACTGATGTACAGACAGTTTTGTTAATCCTAGTAGATTATCTATGTTATTATTTCTAGAATAAACTTCAATGACTATGTAATTGTCTTTAATACGTTCCAATAAATCATCACCATAAATAAGAGGTACTACCTGGAATATAAAAAAAAAATATATATATATGAGTATATAAATATGTGAATGTTCAGCATAAAAAAAATAATATGTTTACTTGGCAAAATTGATACAATGGATTTTGTGTATTGTTGCAAATTTCACTTTTAGTCTTATCCTCTCTCCAAAATGTCCTGCATATTAAATATGTATTTAACTCTGGTAGTTCTTGCCCTTCAGCTACATATATTAAACCATGGAGTAAAACCTATGTAATAATCATTGTTTTATCAAAGATAATTCATTGGAGCACATTTATAACATTAATTATATTTTTGTACCTTATCTTCTATTCTATTTTCTTGATTTTTTGTATCAACCTTTTTATTATCTATATTCTGTTTTAGAATGAGTTTCTGTTGCACTTTTACTTCTTTTATGTCTAGTTTCATTTAACAACTGTTGTGTTTCCAAAACAGGAATGTTTTCTTTAGCAGACATTATACTATCTAAAAACATGTAATATAGTTAAATCTTTAATGTGAACATTCGTTTTTTAATCAATGTATGCTTACCTATATACTGTTTTTCAAAATGACAAGAATCTAAATCTAATTCAATAATTATTTTCAATTCGCCTATTTTTATTCCTTTATTAAGAATTATTAAGTGTTGTGCAATTTTCCAATTTTCACTTTTTATAATATCATTAACGTGAATAGTGGCACTGCCTAATTCAATAAGTGATCTTTTATTAAGATGGCGGACAAATATTTTAAATTTTATAGAATGTTCTGTATGCTGTTTCAATCTTGATACTTTATATGTGGCATCATGATTAAAATAAATCACTGTAAAATAATTTCAATTAATTCTAAACTTAATGTAAAGTATATTATATATAATGCATGTATTTATAACATGGATATACCTTGGTTTGTTTGCTTTTTAAAGCATACTCTTACAGGTTTGTTTTCTTTTACCCATTTTTTTTCAGTTTCTTTAATATAATCAAATGTCATATCATATTGAATGTAATATGTTGTAGATAAAACAGTATTATCGTTATCTACAAAAAATATTTTTTTAGTACATAAAATATATATGTTAAATGTTAATATGCATCTCAAGTTTTCAAGTTCCACAAATTTACATACGTGATAACGAAGAAGATTTCACACGTCTATACCCAGCAGGACTTAGAATAAATGATTCCACTTTAATTCTAATATAATTGACAAGATGAAATAGTTCAGTATCTAAAATAGAATACAATCTTCATTAGTACAATAAAAAATTTGCAAAGAATGAATATTTTATTATGCAATGAATAAACCTTTTGAATCAATGCATGATTTTTTTTTTAATAATGTATCTTCTATGGCAGAGTTAATTCCTATAGAAGATATATTGTTTGATGTGCTTTTTTCATCATATTTGTGAATTTTTAAGCCGTTTGATGCCATATCTGTCCAACTTGGATTTAAAAATGATCTTAATGTACACAATGTTTTACTCTCATCAGAAGAAGTCACATCATTACCCAAAAAACATTTACTTAATTTTACTTCATTTTCAGTAGCAATATTACTTATTGAATTATCACTAAATGACAACTCATCTCCATTATATGTTTCTTTTAGTAAAGCTCCTCTAAGTCTTTGTGCTCTTGCAACAACCTGAGCAACAAGTTTATCAGTTATTTCATTATTGAATTTATTAACAGGTGCTTGAAGGCCTGTTCTTTTCAATTTTAAAATAGATTTATAAGTTTCATGTTCTCCAGGCTGTATTTTTTTGCATATGGTATATTTATCAGTTGCTACATCATACTCATTCCTTAAACTATTAATAGCTGAAAGTAAGGTATTATCAATAGCCTGCATTTCATCATGTCTGTATGTTTTTAATTGCATATTAAAAGTTTTTGTCATATGTTCTAACTTCATAGAAATATGAATTTCTCCTATTTTGTTTTCAGAATTTGTTATTATTGGCACATATCTAAAATATGGTTTGCATTTGAAGATTTCTAATAAATCTACAATTTGAGATGTTCCTATAATTGTATTTGTTTCTTCACTAACAATCACTAATTCTATAGCTTCACAATTTTTAACATATTCCTCAAAAAGATTAATACTTGTACGAATGGCATAAATTTCAGTTGTTTCTTGTTCTGATCTTGTCACATTTTTTGTAATGTCTGCTGGTCTGTGAGGAAAAGATATATGTTAAAACATATAGGACGAATTATAAAACTAAGGAGTTCCAAAATATTCAATGTAAGATGTATGAAAGACATAAAATATAACCAATATATTATAGTATAACACAATACATAATTTAGGTTAAAATATTTAATGATAAATTACATTTTATTACTTTAATTAGTAATATTGGAACTATTCAAGAAAAATGATATCATTTAAAATATTACAAATACTTTACCTAAATTGAGCTCTACTATTTTCTCCCCACCAAGATGCTAATACTTTGATCTCACCAAAATTTCTTTTTGACCAAATAACTTCATCTATGACAAATTTTAAATAACCATAAATTTTGCCTTCAACTAGTGGTGGTAAAGATTTCTGCAATTTCATTTTTACATCCATTTATTTTTCGTAATCTGGTACATTGTTAAATTTGAAAGTGTATCTACATTTGCCACCGGTTTAGGTTAGTGTTAACAAAACATAAAAGTGTCACTACAAATTATTAAAAAATAAATACACTACGTATTAAAAAAATACTCATTGACATTAGCACTTTTAGTTTATTCCTTCTGCAAGTAGTAATTGTAAAATCAATGTAAAAACATAGTTATTATCTCAAATCTAATTTTGAGACATAAATACAAAGATGGAATATTTGCTGCCATCTATTCAAAAAACATATGATTTGTAGCAATGAATTACAATTTATATAGAGAATATTATATTTCTAAATTGCTAGTCAGATAATAGAGTATCTTTGATTATGCATTTTAATTTTTGAATAAAAATTAATTCATAATTCTTTTTTAAGTAACGTAATAGTTACAAAATTATTTCTCAGCGGTTAAATGTATGCATAAGAAATAATAAAGCAAATAAATAACTTTCTTTAATCAGTTTTTGTAATCAATGGTGAAACACATAACTATAAACTATAAGTTATATTACACATTGTTGAGTAAAGTATTGTCGATATGATTACAATTCGAATATTTAAAAAATATATGAAAAGTTATAAATTATTTCATACAAAAGTATCATTGAATTGCCGAAAAAGATTTTTATCTTGCTCGTCGCATAATTTTTCAACGGACAACAGACAATCAGAAAATCTTTATCGTTATTTATACTCAAAAATTTTAGCTTGTGGACCTATTACAATTGCTGATTACATGAAAGAAGTTTTAACTCACCCAACTATGGGATACTATATAAATAAAGACGTTTTTGGAAAACAAGGTGATTTTATAACGTCTCCAGAAATTACACAATTATTTGGAGAAGTATGTAAGTCTTGTTTAAAAATTTAAAAATCAACATATACTTA